TACACTCCAACCTGAGCGACAGAGCAAGACTCTGTCTCTAAAAAATAAATAAATAGGCTGCTCTCAGTGGCTCACGCCTGTAATCCTAGCACTTTGGGAGGCCAAGGGCGGGCAGATCACCTCAGGTCAAGAGTTCAATCCAGCCTGACCAAAATGGAGAAACCCCGTCTCTAATAAAAATACAAAATTAGCTGGGTATGGTGGTGTATGACTATAATCCCAGCTACTCAGGAGGCTAAGGCAGGAGAATCACTTGAACCTGGGAGGCAGAGGTTGCAGTGAGCTGAGATTGCACCACTGCACTCCAATCTGGGTAACAGGAGCGAAACTCGTCTCAAAAACAAATAAGAATAAATAAATAACCATGTCTTGATTTTTCCAATAGATTTTTCTATTCTATTATTTAAAAAATCTTCCTAAAGTGAAGGTTCCATTTTCACAAAACAGCTGTTGCTTGATTTCAAGACTTGCCATTCTGATCTCATGTAATCTTCCTTGCTTTGCTGCAAACGGAAGTTCATTCCACCACCAAACTGCTGAAATCTATCTCAGACCCACCTAATCTGGTCCTCAGATAAACTCTGGTTAGGTTATCTAAGTGATTAAACCAATCTCCTTACTTTCCGCCCAAGATACAAACTCATTAACACTCACCTCCAAAGCCATGGCTCAAGGTATCTTCCCTATCTGTATTGCCTCCATTTGTCAATCAACCTTCTCTCTCCATAAGGTTTTTCACAGACTCTGCTTCCTACAGATTTCTTCGTGTCCCTTGTTAGCACTTGATTGTTATATTTTACCTTAAATTTTTTTCTTTTTCTGTTTTTTGTTTTTGTTTTTGTTTCTATTCTTCAGTTTAGGATAATGGCAGCTGCATAGTGTTTCAACAAATATTTCTCAGATTGAAAGGGAAGTAGGACTTAAAAACTGACTTTAAGATGCCTTCATGTCCAATTGCTGATTGATGAATTCCATGCTGCATAAAAGACGCAAGTGAGAGAGAGAGAGAAATAACACACAGTTAGTGTAGTTAACAAGCATTTAGGCTACTTTGTGAATGCCCACTGGGGTAAGCAATGCATGACAGATAAAATTATTTACTTTAAACAAAATAAATAATAAAAAAAATATTTATTTTTGAGATGGAGTTCCTCTTGTCACTCAGGCTGGAGTGCAGTGGCATGATCTCAGCTCACTGCACCCTCCACCTTCTAGGTTCAAGCGATTCTCCTGCCTCAGCCTCCCAAGTAGCTGGGACCACAAGTGCCCACCACCATGCCCAGCTAATTTTTTGTATTTTTAGTAGAGACAGGGTTTCACCATGTTGGTCAGGCTGGTCTTGAACTCCTGACCTCAAGTAATCCACCTGCCTCTGCCTTCCAAAGTGCTGGGATTACAGGCATGAGCCACCCCACTCGGCCATAAAATTTATTTAATGATGTCACATTCTAACATTATACCTGGGCATGGTGGCTCACGCCTGTAATCCCAGCACTTTGGGAGGCCGAGGCAGGTGGCTCACTTAAGGTCAGTAGTTCGAGACCAGCCTGGCCAACACAGTGAACACCCATATCTACCAAAAATATAAATAATTAGCCAAGTATGCCAGGCACAGTGGCTCACGCCTGTAATCCCAGCACTTTGGGATGCTGAGGCGGGCGAATCACCTGAAGTTGGGAGTTTGAGACTAGCCTGGCCAACATGGTGAAACCCCATCTCTACTAAAAATACAAAAATTAGCCAAGTGTGGTGGCAGGTGCCTGTGATCCCAGCTACTCTGGAGTCTGAGGCAGCAGAATTGCTTGAACCCAGGAGGCAGAGGTTTCAGTGAGCTGAGATTGTGCAAATGCACTCTAGCCTGAGTGACACAGCAAGACTCCATCTCAAAAAAAAAAAAAGGAAAAGAAAAAGAAAAGAAAAGTTTTCATTAGAAGAGACAGCAGAAACTAGAAACTATAATGGATGTTCAAGCTGTAGACAGTTTCTGTGGAAGAACTAATGAAGAACATGCCAAATGTGAGAAAAACAAAATTAAAGCACAGCATGTGGTTAAGATATTCACGAACTGGGCTGGATGCAGTGGCTCATGCCTGTAATCCCAGCATTTTGGGAGGCCAAGGCAGGTGGATCACGAGGTCAAGAGATCGAGACCATCCTGGTCAACATGGTGAAACCCCGTCTCTACTAAAAATACAAAAATCAGCTGGGCATGGTGGCGCGTGCCTGTAATCCCAGCTACTCAGGAGGCTGAGGCAGAAGAATTGCCTGAACCCAGGAGGCAGAGGTTGCGGTGAGCTGAGATCGCGCCATTGCACTCCAGTCTGGGTAACAAGAGCAAAACTCTGTCTCAAAAAAAAAAAAAAGATATTCACGAACTTCCTGCTGAGCAGTCTAGGGGGAAAAAAAAAAGATATTCAGGAACTACTGGATAGAGACCAATAATAGTTACAGTTATATCTCAGTGAAGCAAATACTATAATAGAAAGTTCAAAAAGTAATTTGAGAACATGCGGTGGCAGCAATTTAGTCAATGAGATCTTAAAGAGAAGAAAAAATATTTAATTAGCTTTCTGTTTATTGACTGATATCTTTAAAAGACAACATGCTATGCCTGTAATCCCAGCACTTTGGGAAGCCAAGGCAGGTGAAACTCCTGAGGTCAGGAGTTTCAGACCAGCCTGTCCAACATGGTGAAACCCCATCTCTACTAAAAATACAAAAATTAGCCTGGCGTTGTGATGGATGCCTGTAATCCCAGTTACTCGGGAGTCTGAGGAAGGAGAATCGCTAGAACCCAGGAGGCAGAGGTTACAGTGAGCTGAGATTCTGCCACAGCACTCCAGCCTGGGCAACAAGAGTGAAAGTCCATCTCAAAAAAACAAAACAAAACAAAAAAAACACTACTTTGCCTGGGTGCAGTGGCTCACACCGGTAATCCCATCAGTTTGGGAGGCCAAGGTAGGTGAATCACTTGAGGTTAGGAGTTTGAGACCAGCCTGGCCAATGTAGTGAAACCCTGTCTCTACTAAAACTACAAAATAATTAGCCAGGTGTGGTGGCAGACGCCTGTAATCCCAGCTACTTGGGAGGCTGAGATAGGAGAACTGCTTGAACTTGGAAGGTGGAGGTTGCAGTGAGCTGAGATTCCACCACTGCACTCCAACCTGGGCAACAGAGCGAGACACCGTCTAAAAAATAAAAATGGGAAAAAAAAAAAAAAAAGACTACTACTTAATGATCCCTAGTCTCCCTTTCTCTGTAGGACTGAAACACATAAATTGTTTCATTTTACAAGTTTACAAAAAGAACTTAACATAGGACTAATAAGTTTACAAGGACTCAACATAGGAAGTTCTTGCAGAGACATAAAGAAATTGCAGGCCGGGCGTGCTGGCTCACGCCTGTACTCCTAGCAGTTTGGGAGGCTGAGGTGGGTGTATAACCTGAGGTCGGGCGTTCAAGACCAGCCTGGCCATCATGGTGAAACCCCATTTTAAATAAATAAATAAATAAATAAATAAACAAATAAATTGCATCCATAATTTATATAGAATGTAAAAGCTATAAAATTATATTATATAGCTTATTATTAATAATACATACACCTGGCCTGGTGCGTGGCTCACACCTGTAATCCCAGCACTTTGGGAGACTGAGATGGGTGGATCACCTGAGGTCGGGAGTTCAAGACCAGCCTGGCCAACATGGTAAAACACTGTCTCTACTAAAAATACAAAAATTAGGCTGGGCAAGGTGGCTCACACCTGTAATCCCAGCACTTTGGGAGGCCGAGGCAGGAGTTTGAGACCAGCCTGACCAACATGGTGAAACCCCGTCTCTACTAAAAATACAAAAATTATCTGGGCATAGTGGTGTGCTCCTGTAATCCCAGCTACTCAGGAGGCTGAGGCAGGAGAATTGCTTTAACCCAGGAGGCAGAGGTTGCGGTGAGCTGAGATTGTGCCACTTCACTCCAGCCTGGACGACAGAGCAAGATACCATCTCAAAAAAAACCAAAATTATTTGGGAGGCTGAGGCAGGTGGATCACAAGGTCAGGAGATGGAGACCATCCTGGCTAACACGGTGAAACCCTGTCTCTACTAAAGATACAAAAAATTAGCTGGGCGTGGTGGTGCATGCCTGTATTCCCAGGTACTTGAGAGGCTGAGGCAGGAGAATCACTTGAACCCAGGAGGCAGAGGTTGCAGTGAGCTGAGATTGCACCACTGCATTCCAGCCTGGTGACAGAGTGAGAATCTGTCTTTGAAAAAAAAAAAGAAAGAAAAGAAAAAAGAGTAAGCAGTGCAGAGTATGATCTACATCCCAATGATATCATCCAAGTTACTACATGTCTAGGAAAAGTTAAGGGGCACCTAAGGAAGTAGTTGTAAGCCCGTATTCCATTACAGGTTTAAAAATACTTAAGTAGCCAGGTGTGATGGCTCACGCCTGTAATCCCAGTACCTTGGAAGGCTGAGATGGGTAGATCACCTGAGCTCAGGAGTTCGAGACCAGCCTGACTGACATGGTGAGACCCCATCTCTACGAATAATACAAAAATTAGGTGGTACACGCCTGTAACCCAGTTATTTGGGAGGCTGAGGCAGGAGAATTGCTTGAACCCAAGAGTGGGAGGTTGCAGTGAGCTGAGATCAGGCCATTGCACTCCAGCCTGGGCGACAAGAGTAAAATTCCATCTCAAAAAAAAAAAAAAAAAAAAAGCCTAAGCAAAAGCCCAGGAAGAGAGAAGAACCAGGAATTACATTTTTACATTTGACACATCAAGATTTTGAGCTAATTTAAGCAGGGCTATATCTTCTATTTATTTAAGTGTTCTTGTTATTTCCTACCCTCTGCCCCCCTTCACCATTCTACCATGGCAGCATATAGAATGCCCACTTCTCTGCATGTAGTAAGCACTCTTTACATGTTTGATCAATGATAATGTCACAACGGATCTATTGTGACATCAACAGGACTGGAATACCATGGTAGCCATCAATTAGTAGCTGAGTATGCCACAGCTTCTGGGAGCAGAAAAGACCTCTCTTAGCTTCCTACTGAATATCTTTATTCCCATTTTCCTAGATTCTGTGAAAAAGAAGAAATAAAAGGAAATCACCCACATTTTCAAAATGTTTATCAAAATGCAAAATGAGATAGACCGTGACAGTGAATCAGAAAAATACATCAAGGATTCCACCATCATGAGAAGAGATCCCCAAAATGTTCTTGGTCCTTCGGTGCTCCCTAAACTTGAGATCCCATTCTCAGTAAAGGATATCATCTCCAGGATTGAGCAAGCACAGCTCCATCGAGCCAGACAGGTAGGTCCAGAGGCTGCAATTTTCTTTTTAAACTTTCTGTGACCAAGTACATTTTTGCTTGTTGTTAGAAATCATTTTCACAATATTTGACTGTATTTAAGGTAGCTTTGACTTCAAATCACAATTTCACCTGACACTGACTGTGGATATAGCAAGCTCCAATTTGACATTAATATCTTTATATCAGGATTAATAAAGCCATTTAAGAAATAAATCAAGGCCATGCCTGGTGGCTCACATCTGTAATCCCAGCACTTTGGGAGACTGAGATGGGTGGATTACCTGAGGTCAGGAGTTTGAGACCAGCCTGGCCAACCTGGTGAAACCCTGTCTCTACTAAAAATACAAAAATTAGCCAGTGGTGGGCACCTGTAATCCCAGTTAATCAGGAGACTGAGGCAGAAGAATCGCTTGAACTTCAGAGGCAGAGGTTGCTGTGAGCTAAGATAGTGCCAGTGCACTCCACCCTGGACAACAAGAGTGAGACTCGGAGAGAGAGAGAGAGAGAGAGAGAGAGACAGAGAGAGAGAGAGAGAGAGAGAGAGAGAGAGAAATCATGTGCTACCAAATGATTGGGATAGAAAAACAGTTTTAAATTTATAGCTACTACCAATATCTAATTTCAGCCAATAGTTTTCATTTGTTCCCTATGGAACTTTTATCAAATAGCTATTAACCAGATGGAATTTAGATTGCTTTGAATTCTAGTTCCTTTCATTTTCCCTGTACATTTCAAGGGAGAAATAGTCTAAGAGAAACTGAAGGACATTAAGTAGAGTGTTTAAATAACATTGGCCTGGTGTGGTGGCTCATGTCTGTAATTCCCATACTTTGGGAGGCTGAGATGGGAGGATCTCTTGAAGCCAGGAGTTAGAGACCAGCCTGATCAACATAGTGAGACCCCATCTCTATATTTTCAGAAAATGAAATAAATAAATAAATAAATAACGTAAGAATCAAAGAGACCCCAAACAATTACAGTTATACTGCATTTTATTCTCTCAAAATACAAAATCAGGCCAGGCACAGTGACTCATGCTTGTAATCCCAGTGCTTTGGGAGGCCAAGGCAGGAGGATCTCTTGAGGTGAGGAGTTCCAGACTAGCTTGGCCAACATAAGGAGACCTCCTGTCTACTAAAAATAAAAAAATTAGCCATGCGTGGGAGCTCAAGCCTGTAGTCCCAGCTACAGAGGATCCCTTGAACCCAGGAGACTGCAGTGAGCACCAAGCTTGCACTACTGCACCCCACCCAGCATGGGTGACAGAGGAAGACCCTGTCTTAAAAAAAAATCAATCATGTTAGACAAAATTGATTAAGGGGGAGAGCTTTCCTATGTGTAAGGAAAGCTACACTGGTCACAATGGCTCACATCTGTAATCCTAGCAATTTGGGAGGCGAAGGTGAGAGGCTCACTTGAGCCCAAGAGTTTGAGACCAGCCCAGGCAACAAAGCAAGACCCTGTCTCTACAAAATAGCCGGGGAGTGGTGATATGTGCTTTTAGTCCCAGCTACTCGGGAGAGTCCCTTGAGACTAGGAGTTCGAGGTTACAGTGAGCTATGGATTGTGCCACTGCATTCCAGCCTGGTGACAGAGGAGACTGTCTAAAAAAACAAAAAGAATGCTAGCCACACACAGTGGCTCACTCCTGTAATCCCAGCACTTTGGGAGGCCAACACAGGAAGGTCACTTGAGCCCAGGAGTTCAAGACCAGTCCGGACAACATGCTGAGACTCCAGTCTCTCTCTCCATATATAGATACGTATATATACATATATATATACACATATATACATATATATACATACACATACATATATACATATATATGTGTATGTATATATATACATATATATGAGAATTTTATATATGTTTTTATATATGAATAATTATATATATAAAATATGTATATAAGGCCCCACCCAGCCTTATTCTTGTATTTTTTTTTTTTTTTTTTTTTTGAGACGGAGTTTCGCTCTTGTTACTCAGGCTGGAGTGCAATGGCCCAATCTCAGCTCACCGCAACCTCTGCCTCCTGGGTTCAGGCAATTCTCCTGCCTCAGCCTCCTGAGTAGCTGGGATTACAGGCACGCGCCACCATGCCCAGCTAGTTTTTTTTGTATTTTTATTAGAGACGGGGTTTCACCATGTTTGCCAGGATGGTCTCGATCTCTTGACCTTGTGATCCACCCGCCTCGGCCTCCCAAAGTGCTGGGATTACAGGCTTGAGCCACCGCGCCCAGCTATTCTTGTATTTTTCAGTACAGATGGTGTTTCACCATTGGTCTCAAACTCCTGACCTTGTGATCATGTCTCAAGCAGGCTGGTTTTGAACTCCTGACCTCGTGATCTGCTCGCCTTAGCCTCTCAAAGTGCTAGGATTACAGGCGTGAGCCACCGGCACCCGACCCACAGTGTTTGCTTTGAACAGCTTTATTGAAGCATAGTTAGCATACAATAAAATGTATGCAACCTCTGCCTCCCGGGCTCAAGCCATCCTCCCATCTCAGTCTTCCAAGTAGCTGAGACTACAGGCACGCACACCACCATTGCTGGCTAATTTTTGCATTTTTCTTAGAGATGGGGTTTCACCATGTTGCCCTGGCTGGTCTTGGACTCCGCAGCCTCCCAGAGGGCTAAGATTACAGGCTGGAGCCACCACACCTGTCCTAAAATGTACATTTTATTGTATTTGTTTTATTTTATTTTATTTTATTTGTTTTTTGAAATGGGAGTCTTGCTTTGTCACCAGGCTGGGGTGCAGTGGCACAATCTCAGCTCACTGCAACCTCTGCCTTCTAGGGTCAAGCTATTCTGCCTCAACCTCCCAAGTAGCTGGGACTACAGGCATATGCCACCACACCCAGCCAATTTAAAAAAAATTTTTAGTAGAGAAGGGGCTTCACCATGTTGGCCAGGATGGTCTCAGTCTCCTGATCTCATGATGCACCTTGCATCAGCCTCCCAAAGTGTTGGGATTTCAGGCGTGAGCCACCGTGCTCGGCCTAAAATGTACAGTTTATAAGTATATAAGTATCGATAAATACGTGTGAAACCTTCACCGCTTCAACATAATGAATTTACCCACTTCCCCGCCTCAGAAAGTTTCTTCATGTGGCTTTATAATCCCTCCCACATGCTGTTCCATGACCCACCTCAATCCCCACTAACCACCAATCTGCTTCTGTCACTGTATGTTAATTTGCGTATTTTAGATTTTATATAAGCAGAGCCAACAGCATCTACTTTCTTCTGCCTCACATCTTTCACTTAGCATGACTGTTTTGAGATTCATCCACACTTTTGCATATATAAATAGTCGATGCTTTTTTATCATTGTTTTTCCATGACATGGCATGGACCATTTCTGGTTTTGGGTTATTACAAATAAAGCTGCTATAAACATTCATGCACAAGTTATTATACAGACATATGCTTTCATTTCTCTGGAAAAAATACCTAAGTTTGGAATGGCTAAGTCTAAAGGTAGTAAATGTTCAATTTAAAAAATAAACTACCAGGCTGGGTGCGGTGGCTCACGCCTGTAACCCCAGCACTTTGGGAGGCCGAGGTGGCAGATCACCTGAGGTCGGGAGTTCAAGACCAGCCTGACCAACATGGAGAAACCCTGTCTCTACTAAAACTACAATATTAGCCGGGCATGGTGGCCCATACCTGTAATCCCAGCTACTTGGGAGGCTGAGGCATGAGAATTGCTTGAACCCGGGACGGAGAGGTTGCTATGAGCCACGATCGCAGCATTGTACTCTAGCCTGGGCAACAAGAGTGAAACTCGGTCTCAAAAAAATAAAATAAAATACCAAACTGTTTTTGGAAGTGGGTATACTATCTTTTTTTTTTTTTTTTTTTTTACAAAGGAGAAAAAGTAGATGATCTTCTCAAAAGATGTGATACATCAATTGATAAGCTTTAATACACATTTATAATAAAATCTCTTATTTTTATATAAGAAAAAGAATAAAGAAGAGGAAGAAAGAGAAATAGGAAGAGGGAGAGAGGATGGGGGTATTGCTTTATTGCCCGGGCTAGAATGCAATCTAAATATAAGTATGCCTATAATTGTCCTTAATAATGAAGATATAAAAGAAAATGAGGGAAGAGAATAACAAACAAGGAGCCAACATTTTGTTTAAACTTCTAAGTTGATATGATGTGGTACTGATAAGAGTGTATATTTTGTATATTTAAAGTGGAGAGTTCTATAAATGTTAATTACATTTACTTGTTCCAGGTCTGAGTTCAAGTCCTGGATATCGTTATTAATTTTCTGTCTCATTGATCTGTCTAATATTAATGTTGAAGTCTCCCACTATTATTATGTGGGAGTCTAAGTCTCTTTATAAGTCTTGTATGTTTGCATATTCCTGTATTGGGTGCGTATATATTTAGGATCTTTAGCTCTCCTTGTTGTTGCATTGATCCTTTTATCATTATATAATGTCCTTCTTTGCTTTCAATCTTTGTTGCTTAATTGTAACTTCTACTTTTTATTTATTTATTTTAGCGCTCTGTTTGGTTGGTAAATCCTTCTCCATCCCTTGTTTTGAGTCTTCGTGTATCCTTGAATGTGAGATGGGTCTGGATGCAGCATACTGATGGGTTTTAGTTTTTTATTCAGATTGCCTGTCTGTCTTTGGATTGGGGGATTTAGTCAATTTAAATTTAGAATTAATAATAATATCTGTGAGTTTAATACTGCCGTTTAATATTAGCTGGCTATTTTGCCCATTAGTTGATGTAAATTCTTGGTAATTTTTTAGAAAGGCTGATACTGTTTGTTCCTTTCTATGTGTAGTGGTTCTTTCAGAAGCTCTTGTAAAGCAGGCCTGGTGGTGATGAAATCTCTGAGTGCTTGCTTGTTCACAAAAAACTTTATTTTTCCTTCACTTATGAAGCTTAGTTTGGCTGGATGTGAAATTCTGGGTTGAAAGTTCTTTTCTTTAAGGATGTTGAATATTGGTCCCCACTCTCTTCTGGC